TGTATCATAACACATCAAAAATATTTTTAAAATACTCTATCAGGTCAAATATTTAACAGCCAAATGGACTGTTTCTTAGTTCTAAATTATTTATATTTACAATTCAAAGTAAAATCTTGAAAATCTGTGTCAGATAATTTCTTATCCTTTCACTACCACCGGTGAGGAAACCAAAATGTTTGATGACTCTTCTCCCAACTCACCCCAGTGAACATCCTAAAACAGAATCTTCTCAGTGATACCAATTTGCATGTAGTTAGTGGACAGTTAGCTACCTGCCACTGCTGGATGGGTAGCTGATTCTAGTCTCTTCCACTTCTGGCATGATCATTCAAGGAAGGAACGCATGATATGTCCTGAGGTGAATATTTCAAAAATCCTTGGGGATCCTTCAGATTGCTGAAGGCTCCACTCCTACTAAAGCCAAACTGGAGCAGATGCATAGAGGCAGCTTCCTGACGGTGGGCTTCAAAGCTGAGGATGCCAGAGATCTGCCCCTCCACAATGATGACTGTGCAGCTATTGCAATAGCTTATTTTGAAGCATTTAAAAACCTTCAGAGAATGCAATGCCTTGAAGAACCTAGAGCTGTGCGCTCACCTCTCCTAGTGCTTCTAGGAGTTCTGGCTTGCCTTCGCGTCTATACTAGCATTCAGAATTGCCAACCCTGAAGACAGCTTGTTAATCCAGGTAGTGTCCCTACCTTAGAGTCAGGAAGCTCAGGTTCAAGTTGCACATGCTTTGGAGGTGTGCAATAACATTTCTGAACAGGGTAATAGGAAAATATCTCAAGTTCGTACCTTTAACCAGTTCTTCTGGTGCAGTGGTAGTGTCCCTAAATTTGAGCAGGAGGCCCAGGTTCAAATCCCATCTGTTCCAGAGGCATGCAATAAGACCTCTGAATAGGCTGATTCAAAAACATCTAGAACATTACAGGTGACAGGAACACCTAACGCATTGGAGTCAGGATCCAAAAATAGTCCTGACCTCTGCTTATAGACAACGGCAGTAAGATTTCACTAATACTGCACCTATTTCTACTGGTTCACAATCTACCTACAATGGGGTGTGTGTGTCTATGTGTGTGTCAAAACTGTACAATACTCCAATCCCAACCAAAATAAGATTCTGTACTATTTCAACATCAACAGCAGTTGGTTAGTTTTTTTTTAAATGGAAAGTAAATGAGGAAAAATTAAAATTGGGAGAATACACTTATTCTCAGGATGTGACAGATAAGGAAAAAGAAAATTAACAGACTTGCTGGTTACGTTATAGAGTACAAATATGAAGTTGGAGTTTAAATATTTTTTGGCAATTACTTATCCAATCAACATCAACCAATGCACCAAGGAGTAAAATGAAAGGACAAAATAGAACTATTCCCAAAAAAAGGTAATATTCAATAATACAATACAAAACAGCACAGGAACAGGCACTGCGGCCCACCAAGTCTGTGCCGATTCCTAATTGCTTTTTTAGACCCGCAAGTTATTGCCCACACGCTGTTTCTATCATTCTATTCGCCTGCCATTCATGTTTCTATCAAGATTTGTTGCTACCACGCCTGTTCCCACCAATTCTACAGTAGGACTTCAATCATGTGACATTAATTTCTCGTTTATTTCTTCCTCCAGCTCCCTCCTCCTTTTTCTTTCGCAATATTGCTGATGTATGATTTGGTATTTCTTCCAAACCCAACATAGGCCTCAGCCACCACACGGTTGTCAGAACGCTATTTGACTGCAGGGACATCAGGGGCAAGCCGATCTTGTCTTTATACAACGCTGATAGATTAGTTAACAAGAAAGCATCAGGAAATAGAAATAAGAAGCATTATAGTAGATTTGCCTCTCAGCAACAGGGTTCTTTGGCCAATTTTCACAAACTAACTGCTCTCTTGCTTAAATCAGATAAGGTAGCTCAAACCAGGGGTAGGATTTTCCTCACAGCTTCAAGACTCTGATATCGAGATCAAATGAGGGTCAGAAGCTCACACCATGAAAGAAACGATTGGCCGATTAATAGCCAGAGGATGGGCTTGTCACCTAATTAAGGACAAAGGAAGGACTCTTGAAGTTGAAGGACTAATAGAAGGTCCTCCAGCACTGAAGTAACAGTATCTTTTCAGTTAAGGGAGGTGCAGTTTCAAGATGGAGGCATCCTTTCTTCACTCATTTTCTTTTAACTTTTAGATTTAAGAAGTTCAAAAGCCAGGTCATCATTGTGGAGGAAACCCCTTCGTGGAGCAGTCTGCAGCTCAAAGCCAGCCCGAAGCACTGCCCCCCACCACCACACTTGGCTGATAAAGTGATTTCCATAGCACTTGCTTTCATGCTCACTTCCACTGGGGCATAAACTGAAGCCCCAGGACTCTCTCTTCTCCCAAGAGTCACTCCGCATCACAGCTGGCTGTATGTTTTTTCAATGCAGTTTTCTGGAAGGAAACGGTTTAAGTAGCAGTTTTCATAGTGCTGGTTCACAGCCAATGAAGCGCCCTTGAGGTATAGTCACTATTGTACTGCAGGGAAATGTACCAGTCAAATCATATAAACACTTGAGACTAATGAGGTTAATGACAAGATTGTCTGTTTTCATGATGTCAGTTGAGGAATAAATGTTGGCTAAGGCACAGGAAACCTCTGTGTTCTTCATCAAATAGTACCATAAGATCTTATCATCTACCAATGATGGCATATTAACTTCAGTTTAACATTCAAAAGATAGCACCTCCTATTCTGCAACACTCCCTCAGTGCTGCACTGGCCTGAATTATGTGTTCAAGTTCTGAAGTATTGTTTGAAACCACTTTTCTAACTCAGAAGACTATTACCATGAAACTAAGATTGACAGTTTAATGTGAGTCAGAAGGTTATGTGTTGAAGCATTCCCATCCAACCAATCCATAGCATATAATCCAGATTATATTATCATGTTGGAGGTGTTACCATGATAATGATATATTAAACTGATACTGATATGGAAAATACATAGAATCCTATATTACTGCTCTAAAAGGAACAAAACATCCCTGGTGTTAGGCAGCAATCCTCCATCAGCAAACATCACCAAAAACATATCCATCCCATTTGCTGTTTTTGGAGCTTTGCTGATCACAATTAGCCACTACAGTTTCCTACGTAATACTGGTGATTACAAAACAAACTGATTGAGTGTGTTTGAAGTAATGTAAGGAAAACACTTGAACCCCTTGATCAGAAAGAGCCTTGTTGTCACAATCATTGCAACTGTTTGACGTTATTGATTACATTTCAAAAAATGTTTTGTAGAAGTGGCAATGAGGCCAGTATTCTTCAAATTTTGTGAAAGGAATAATAAACACTGACAGTCTCTCTAAACGTTCCTGTTATCTGGTGTTAATGAATTTGGAGGTAGATGCTGGGTGACTGTTGGTCAGCTCACAGTTCTCAAGGGTTCTAAGCAAAATGTTTTTGAGCAGCCACAATCCAGATTTAAGCAGGTATGAGCGCTGAACATGAAGTAGACCACAAATGATCAATCTCATTCAAAGAAATTATT